GACAGTGGCGTCATCAACGTTTTTTTCATGATTTACTCCTTAAAAATGAAATTTAGAATTAAATTATAAGGCTGTTGACTGTAATATTTTTTCTGTCTATTCGAAATATCCTAAAAAAATGTGGTGCACACTTTTAAATAACTCGCTACGCGGGTTATTCACTGTGCATGTCATTTCTTCATAGACAGAAAAAAATTACAGCCATTCCTTAATCAAAAAAATATGAACAAACAGATGTTATGTATGTCAATGAGAAAGCAACCCAACGACGAAAATTTTTATAAAAGACTCCTTGAGAGCAACATACAGCCTTTAGGTTTCTAAACAATATGTCAAGTTCTAAATCGCCCCGAGTCTATAAAAGTCGTAAATAAATAAAGCAGAAACAATGAATGATCTGTCATAAACATCTAAGTCTCCAAATAAAGAAAAACATTAAGATATGACATAAAACAACTATATATATATACTGACGATGTTCCTTATACTTGAGGCAAGCACACAAGTATGTGATGTTATTTAACTAGTTTTGTTTTTTTCCCGATGGAACCTTTCCTCATTTTCATTTTAATCGCGACCATTCTGTAGATTTACAAAACGTACATGAAAAAGACACAATAAAAACAAGTACAACAGGAAAAGCACTTAACTCTTCAATAACGGTATAATAACCCCCTCCCCCCGAAAAAAAAATATGAATAACAGATAGATATCTTTCTTAAAGCAAAAAAAAAAAAAGCAAGCTTAAAGAACCGTTAATACCGCCGGGTAAACATATCTTAACAGGCGTTTACTGGTACTTGTAGAGTAGTACGCAGGATAAAACAAACACAGGTACATGACACATTTTGAAGGTTATTCCTTGCATTTTTATCAGTTTTTCCTTGACTAACTCATTGAGGACTCTAAATGTAACATAATAGACCACTTTCGAGTTTGTTTTATTTCCGTCAAAAAATTTGGTTTTAGTGAACATCATTCGTGCGTTTAGGGGCATCGTCACTTCCTTCCCATTTTGAGCGAGCGGTTGAAAAAATATGATGATATATTGCACGAATTATTCGGCAAATTAAATTCTTATAATTGATAATCAGCACTGCTGTCATTAGGGGATACAGGCGGTCCCCTCTATCTGGTAAATGATGTCATAAAGGCGCGCATAATTGACGAACTTTCCGGTGAAGGACAAAACTCGTAAGCGGTCTATTATTTTAACATTGCTTTACGGTTATATATGATCAAATCCAAAATCAAAAACGGTTCATTCAAAAATGATTATTTCGATTGAACATCAAGTAACCAAGTGCAAGTAAATGTTTAAATATATACCACACCTTAAAAGTAAAGACCACATGTTACAGGTATATAATGAGTTTTAAGCCCTGCTTTTAAAATAGAACGTGTTCATATATTGTTTCAAACACATAAGTTTATTTCAGACAAAGGACATTAGAAAGGTGTTGTCACTTTCTTGCATGGATATTACAATGTAGATATTGTTCCATTATATTTGTCTAAAACTTGCACATCACGATTTCAACAATAAAAAAAACGAGAGTGTTTTCGTGATATCTTATTTTCCCATATTGCTAAATATAACTTCATATGACACATAAAAAACCCGAGATTTTTAAATATTTAATGCTATAACATTTTATTAAACATTATTGTCTTTTATTCAAATTAAGCTTTTTGTGAAAAACGTGATCTCCTAAAGCTAAATCATCTGTGTCAGCTAAATTAATCCCATTAAATGATTACACAACATGAAATAACATATATGGATTTCAAATATTGTCATTTTAAGACTAAACATACTCCTTATTTTACTTTTATCTTTAAATGATCCTATTATTCTAGAGTCTAATTTTAAAAATTTTATAGAGAGAAATCGAAATCGTAATGGCGAATCGTGCTGTTTCTCTGATATATAACCCAAAGTTGTACATTTATATCGCAAAGAAACTTTATTCTATGAATCTAAGGACTTCAAAAGTATTACAATTTTGCTGCAATGATATTACAATATGCATACATGAGGTTTGTCGTAGGAAGTATGACTTGTTTTCCTTGTTTTCTTGAATTTTGCCTCGTGCTACATTATCAGAATTTCATAACCTTTTTGACTGACTCCCTCGCTTTTCAACATCCGTGCAATCTATATTTCACTCGTTTCCTGAGCTTTCTACATGCAGTGAAGGATGGATCGTGTCATTTTCTTTTGTCTTTTTAAGCTCACCGTTCCAAAGAAAATGTGAGCTTTTGCCATCACTTGGCGTCCGTCGTCGTCCGTCGTCGTCGTCCGTCCGGTGTATACTATAATTTCAAACATCTTCTCCTCTGAAACTACTGAACCAATTCCAATCAAACTTAAGCTGAATGATTCTTAGGTTATCTAGAATAAATTTGTGTTTAATTTTTTGTTTCCTCAGAAAACATGGCTACCATGGCTATAAATAGAACATAGGGTAAAATGCAGTTTTTGACTTAAATCTCAAAAACTAAAGCATTTAGAGCAAATCAGACAGAATTTGAAATATTCAATAGGTCAAGTTCTACCTGCCCTGAAATTATCAGACAAAACGGGTATCTGATTTTTAGGTTATTGCCCCTGAATTGATGATTTTAAGGAAATTTTGCAGTTTTCGGTTATTATCTTGAATATTATTATAGATAAAGATAAACTGTAAACATCAAAAATGTTCAGCAAAGTAAGATCTACAAATAAGTTTCATGACCAAAATTGTCAATTGACCCCTTAAGGAGTTATTGCCCTTTAAAGACAATTTTTCACAATTTGTTCATCTATAGTTTGCTTACTTTAAAAAATCTTCTCCTTTGAAATTGCTGAATCAATTTTAGCCAAACTTGGGCTGAATGAGTTTCAGAGTATCTAGCATAAATTTTGTATTTTATTTCCTTATACGTCAAGAAATATAGCCACTATGGCTAAGATGGAACATAGGGGTAAAATACATTTTTTTGCTTTTGAAGAAAATATGGCAGATACAAAGAACATTTAAATGGCATTTTTAAGGCACTCATTAATATATATTGAAAAGCACAAATAATCATTGATGAAAGATTTAAGCAAAAAATTACAGGTGAGCGATTCAGGCTCTTGAGAGCCTCTTGTTTAATAACCCAAACAAATGTCAGGTGCATCCCTTCAGTTATATGTACTTTTGTTCGCAGACTTTTAAACTCGATGTTTTGCCACACCCCAGCTCACAATCTACCAATTTAATGTACAGTAATATGTTGCGTTTCTTTTTTTTTCTTGTGGAAAGGAGTTGCATTTCACCTTTTGGACTTATCATTTTTCGTTTTATTGTATGTCTGTTCTCGAGTATAAATCTGTCTTGTTTGTTCAGTTATATTAGTATCTTCCAGCTGCTTTTATAATGTAAAATAGTTCTAGATTTACTCTTTAAAGTAACAAATATAAATACTTTCTAACACTTAAATTATTACATTTTATTACAATAAAACATTGTTTACAAATTTATATTTTTTGATCTTTTTGATTTGGTTTTTAAAATGTTTTGCGTTTCACGATGCTGGTGTTAAGAATGAAGATAGATTTCTGTTCATGCAGATTGTTTTATGAACATCTATATTCTTATTGTTCCTTCCTATACTTCATTTTGTAGTTTCAAAAATATAAAAGCAATTTTGATACAAATATATTTTAATTAAGAAATGAATGCTTCTTTTTGTTATTCTATTGGGGTGAAAAAGTGTTGACCGAAGCACATTTTGTATGAAGCGCGGAAGCGCTTCATTCTAAAAATGTGTGCACGATCAACAGTTTTACAACCCTATCCAATTACTACAAGAATCATTCATTCCTTAATTAAAATATATTTGTATCAAAATGGCTTTTATATTTTTGAAACTACAAAATGAAGTATAAATATAATTACATTTTTATGATCATGATGATAAGACCATGATAACAAGTTTTATGAAGTTTTTCTTTTATTTACATGTGCACTTTTTTGTGGAAGCACGTGTCATCACGAATGTAACATTTCCTTTTTCATATGAAGGTTATTTTTTGAATGACGCGCGATTGTTGTTAGCCAATCAAACTTACGGATTCTCGTGAAACATACATGTAATGTAATTATTGACATGCAAATCAGTCATAAGTATAACTTGCTATTATTATTGGCTTATTTCTGATTCTGTCAAAATGTTTCTGGAATTTCGTGTACAATGTATAATGTATTCAATAAGTAAACAGAGAGTAAAAAGAAATATGTTTATATTCATAGTCCAAGACCATTTTTGAATTTCCATCATATATAAACGAAATGAGATGAAAATACATATCGTCTCAATAATTATAGAAATTTAAATAAATAAATGATATACAGCAAACTCAATCTATTTCGATTTAAACGTGCATTATATCTGAATAAGAGGCGATGTCGGGGTAAACGTCAGTGAGACAGCAACCAAACTACACAAACAATAAATAAAACATCCAGAAGTCAACACCCTCTCTTCCACAAGAGCAGGTGTCCTTAAAGAAATAAGCTGGAGGATCGTCCTGTGTCTAAAAAAATGTAAATACACTTAACAGAGACTATCAAAAATAGATCTGATCTGCCATCAACGTCCAACGAGATTTTGTGTACATTTCTATTTAAAATTGTGGATTTCAATATGTCTTTCAAAAATCCCATGAATTGTATAAGCGGATACGGCTTTAATAATTATGATATTGATATGAAGCATATAACTGAAATTAATGTTTAAAACATAATAACTGTCAACAGTATGGTGATTAATATCAACTTAAGGATACCGACTTTCTTAGAAGAAATTATTGCGCACCCTTGTAGTTTTCCAATCGACTGATCGGTTCGTTAATGTCGAATCACAGCCCATCAGCTGATGAAGTAAAGAAAATCTATAACTACTGCCGCATAAGCTAGAGCCTGTCAATATAACTGAAAGTTGTAATCAGTTTTACTATAATTCATTTGTAGTGGCGATGTTGGTTTCACTAGAGAAAGGATTGTAGAGTAATACATATCAGGGATATGCTAGTTCATTGAATTGGAAGGTAAGAATTTAAATTCATTTTATTTTTGTAAACTGTTTTTGTTATAACTGGTAATTTTTACCAACTTAAATTATGGTACAATTTAGAAATAATTTGTATAAATGATATTGTCAAAGCAACTATACATTTAGTGTAGTGTTTGTTATGTATCAATGCAAAATACATAGTATACACAACCACAGTCTAGTTGGCATTTTATTCGAAACTCGCGTATATTGTTACAAACCTGCAATTATATCTATGCAAACTTTTATTAAACAAAATATTGCATGTAATTTTAAGAAACTTTTTGGGTCGACGCTGTCGCCTTACAAGAAATAAAAGTTGTTGTTGGGTTGCTGTCTAATTTATTGAAAGCCGGCATTCTTGTATTCATAGATAATATGCATTTGTCATGATCACTTCTGGATTATATGATCATTTGAAATCTGACTCTTAGCAGTTATACGATTATAAGTACAGACTTTTGACCAGTTATGACTATTTGATATCCATTAGTACATACATTAAGTGAACTACTTATTTTATTCTGCTCATTGATACCGCGAAAAGCAATGTTAACCTTTTGGACGAGTGAGCGGAGCGAAGGAGCCAATAGTTTTTACATTACTTCGAGACTTTAACAATATCTTTACGCATAAAATCAATCATCTGTTTATAGTACTATATCTGGTCTTTCCCCCTCCAGGAGACAGTTTTACATTTGGAATATTTAAATATTTTAAATCTTGAATCGAAATATGGGTCATTGTTTATGATTGCAATAACAGATTTATTGATTGTTCTTTGCTTAACGTCCTGTGGCAAATATTTCATGCATATTCAGGAGATTGATATTGAAGGCATTTGAAAAAATTGTAATATTACTTCAGGACATATCTTAAAGCATAACATCATCTTTTTGCCGTAAGGAAATGTTAGGCGCTGATAAATGAAAAATATTTCCTGTCAACATAATCTTCAAAGTGATTTCGACATTGTAATTTCGATTAGAATATTTTGTAGCGTAAAGGAAAAAAGAATGAAGATTGAAATTTGTATTTTGTATTTTGTTAAATACTCATATTAAAAAAATCGTTAAACTAGAAAAGAAACGTCAATTTATCACCATGTTTGTACTTACACGAGCAACACGACGGGTTCCACTCGGGGAGCATGATCTCCTTACCCTTTCGGAGCACATGGGATCACCCTCGGTTTTTGCAGTGATTTGTGTTGCTCAGTATTTAATTTTCCTTGTTGTGTTTTGTGTACTGCTGTTTGTCTTTTGGTCGTTTTTCGATTTTTGCTATGGCGTTTTCAGTTTGCTTTCGACTTATGAGTTTGAATATCCCATTGGTATCTTCGCCTCTTTTATCGCCCTTTACATATGCATGAAATGTTTGCCACTGGACGGTTACCAAACAACAACAATCAATCAATATAAACACGAAGCAACACAGTTTGTATCGTCTAGCTTTCTACTGGAATTTGAAAAAAAAACTAAATGATGTGATGTACACCATTGAAACGAGTAGCAAGTAAAAGTAATGTGTAATTTTAGAAACATGATACATCACACTCCTCAAATACACGTTGTTTGCATTGTATTCTTACCAGTACATCGATCATTTAACGAAACAAATACCACATAATAAAAATGACACTCCAAGATCCAAAAGAGATCAACTATTTAATGTTAATAATACACAAAAAAAAATAACGACGAATTGAGTCATTTCTTGTTCATATGCAAAATATTGGCATGAAAACAATCACACTCATGTACATTCTTACAGATTACCAAATGTACATGGACTTTTTTCTCGTAAAGAAATTAATACATATTAGTTCAAAGATTTCCAGATGATTTAATAGTGATGGTGTTCAGTGTTAATCCACATGGATTTTTAACAACTACACTTTTTTATTTAAAAAAAAGGAGATAGAACATACTTCTTCAACATCTAGCTTGGCCCATTTAATATGTTTTCCAATATCGAGGTAAAAAAAGAAATTCCAATCAGATTAAAAAGAAATGTTCTATTGCACGGAATCTTGGAAGCAATTACAAAACAAATGGAATTTTAACACAGTTTTACTTTAAATGAACGATCTCAACCTAATTGAATTGAGTTTAAACTTAGTTTTCTTTTCATTAAAAGCTTTCAGCATCACAAAACTATAGCTAGAACAATAGAATTAAGATCGTTTACGGATACAGGTCATTCGATCGTCTAATTTGATTAAGGACTTTCGAGGTTATTGACATTCATAAGAGTTCCAGAAACGACAGGTGCCCCCAGGAGACAATTGTTATTAGATTTTCAGCAATTCATATGGTTGCAGAACATATTGACCTCGTTAATTTCATTTGAGAACAACCAGACTGAAATCGCCAAAAGAAAGTAATTATTGTAAAAAGTACGAAACGTATTAAACAAATGTTTAATATTCATCCGAGCTAAACTTAAAGTAAAATAGTACTTTATATGTAATGTAATAAAAAAAAAATCAAAGGTATGACCAATAAGTGACCAGTGCGAAAAATTTCACTTTTTTGTATTCAAGGGGAATAGATTTTACTTTCAATTTTCTTTCATTTGCTTTCAGAAAAATTCTGTATAAAACACTAGCTTTTTGAAGTTGCAGTTTAATGTGCTTTTTTATTTTGAAACTATTAAAACTAACTCCTAAAGGAATTTTTTATTTGCAAACTGTTTTAAAGTATATATTTACATTAAATTTCTTAATTATATTTTATACGCTGATTTACTATCGGAAGTAGTATAGCATAATAAATCATCCTTCAGTCACCCAGAGATGTTATTTCTTTTTTTTTCACATAATGATGGTGTATATACAATTGACATATATTATATCACTGTCAATTTTGTTAGAGCATTATGCAGTTTGTAACTACAATATCAGCATAGAACTAAATTATTCATAGGTTGCAGAAAATAAACCTGTCTTTTTTTTTATTATATTACTGCATGAACAGAAAACCATATTGATTGAACGTTTTAACTATATGCGCCATTAATGCACAATGTACTATATGATAGGAGATCCAGTCATTAACTTTTATGTTGTTACTTCACAGTGATTCTGTCATGAAAATTAGTATTTATATACCTATGCACGATTTATATATATATATATATATATATATGAGTTATATATATATGAGTTGTCCTGGTTTAATGCCTATAACAAAGGTATCATCTCCCGATATATGAAAGCTGGTTTTAATCAGCTGAAAGTCGAATAGGGACTAGGCGGTATTGCGCAATGCTACACAGGGTTGCCACGCGTACGTAAGTAAGTGGAAAAAGACAATTTCTAGCCCAAGGTTAATTGGAAGAAACTATTCTAACACATTGTTTGGTAGATTTTCTAGGCCAATATATATTCATTATCAAAAGTTCTACACAGGTCTAAAATCTATTTTACACTATTAAGTAATATTGAAAAGCAACATAAATAAATGCTTTGTAGTATACTTATATTTATACACTGTGAAGTGCAGCCACTGATATCAGAATGTAGGACGGCATTATTTCATATTAAGTACTTTGATCTTGCTTTCCGTTACAACGAGCATTCTTTGATACGGTATAGTTAAATATTGTTTTGTTTTTATTGTTCTTTTATTATATGTAGTAACACAGTTATTATAAAGAGTGCAGTACTTTTTTGTACTAATTTTTCCTTTTCTTTTATGTTCATTATAACATTCCATTGATCGAGATTAAAAAATGTTGGAGGATTGAGATTTGAAAAATCAAGTTTAACCCTGCCATATATATTTTACTGTGTCTGTCCCTCGTCTGTCCCTCGTCAGTGGTTGTCTCTTGTCAAACTTTATTGTATGATTGGGTGTTAATGGTAGTTCTCTGAAATAATTTCTGTGTAATTATTGTGCAAACCTTTTTCGAATAGGGGCGGTTTAATGCTTGGCATATTGTATAGACACCTGTGTATATGGTGAGACTGTATGTTGATTTCTTGGTAATTTTCGTTGGATTGGGTCTCATCGACGCTTAGGCCACATCTCATTGAAGTTCACTACACATCTCAGTGACGCTTATGCCACATCTCATTGACGCTTACGCCACATCTCATTGACGTTTGCTCCACATCTCATTGACGTTTTACTCCACATCTCATTTACGCTTTCCCCACATCTCATTGACGCCTACGCCACATCTCATTGACACTTACTCAACATCTCATCGACGTTCACTGGACCACATTTCATTTTATTCATTAATAAAATACGATTCACCGAGTGAACATTTGAATGAAAACATGAAGATCTCTATACAGTTAAGTAATGTTATAGTTGACACTGGACTTTTATCCGACAATCTATCCATGAATATGCTATTAACAAACTATCTTTCAATTGAATCCATCCTGACATGAATGGCACGGTCATGGGAACCTATGTCTGATATCTGTTTTATTCGATCTCATTAAATATTGATAGTTTACATTAAGTAGAAGTTATCATTGATTAAAGCTAGCTATATTTTCTATGTATTTCCCTAACAACTTTATAACATGAATCAGTATTGATTGGTCTGTACATACATATGATCAGGCCAAAAAAAAACTGCTTGTATTTAGGGTTTCCCTATACCTATCCTTTTTATTCCTTTATTTCCTTCCCTAAAGTATTCATTGGTATATTGGAAGTGATTCGTGACAAAATTGCAGGTGGTCCCCATTTACTCAATTAAGGTAAAAAAGTGCCCTAAATTTCTAAATGAGGAAACCCTAACACACATATTTGCTTGGCCTATATAGCTAAAATCTACCAATGACGATAAATGCAATTTAGCACGATTGAAGATAAACAAATTTGCTTTTGTATTTCAAAGAAACAAATTTGTTTTTTTAAACGAAGTAGCATATAAGATTTCATCTTATTTTCTTCATAAAATCGTTTTCATTTTCAAGTGCAAACATGCATACGTAGAAAACGCCTTTGCATGGTTTTTTTTCTGGAAGAA